TAGGAGTCACGAAAAGATTCTAGTAGCGAAGGGGCTATCAAAACTTCTCGATTCCCTTCTACGACTAATGTAGTGTCTACTGACTGAGTCTTGAATTAGATTGGATAGTCGAATAGGGAATCTACTGAAATTAGTAGTTGTGGAAGGGGCGGAAGATGCTTTATAGAATATACGTACTCACGGGAGTCTCTGAGTGTTCAGGCATTCGATCAATATTAGATTGAAAAGAACAGTTCCTATTATTCCTACATGTTCCATTAGTAACATTCCCTTGGGATGTCACTGCGTATTTTGCTTGTGTTTAATCTTTCCCAATTAGAAATTATATAGAAATTTATTAGAAGTAGATTTATTGGATTGGTTCATCAATAGTGTTGGGTCAGAATCTTTTTTTGACTCTGCGCCATTGATTCCACTATTATTAGTGAGCAATAATGGAATAATTCCTTCATATTCATAGAGATAGGGGACATAATTCACATGGATATAGTAAGTCTCGCTTGGGCTGCTTTAATGGTAGTCTTTACATTTTCCCTTTCACTCGTAGTATGGGGAAGAAGTGGACTCTAGAAGTACTACTAATTGAGTTGCGGAATCAAACTGTATCAATTTTTATAGATCGTTCTGCAAAGCGTTTTTCACTATTTTAAATAAAAATATCTTCATTTCGAAATTCCATCGGATTCTAGTGGAATAATGTAATATATGAATAATACTCTTTCAATCAAAGAAATATTTCAACGATTTCCATCTTTGTATTTTGAAAGGAAGGGGGATACGGAGGATAGTCAAAGCAAAACAAATCATACAAGGCAAGCAGAAGGAAATGAAGAAAGCAATTTCCTTAGTCACTGAACTAGGATCCAACACAACGGAATGCTGGGCTTGCCGGGCAGTGTAAGAGCAAGCTTGGAAAGCAGATTTCTACGGTTAAGCTTAAGCCTCATTCATTCAGTCAACCTTGGGAAGACCTAGCTCTACTAATATGGGTAGGTGCTCCTTGTGACCTGATGGTTCTTTGATCCGATCTCCTCTTCTCGAAACAACCTGCAAGAAAACATTGCTTCTATGGCTGTGGTTACAAGGTAGCAAACCGCCGGAAATACTTCTTTTGGGTCAATCCCTTTAGATCATTCAAGATTCGTTTTTCCATAAGCAACCAGGTCAGTAAGAAGACCCGGCAAATTCCACCCTTCCAATGTATCGACCCGGTCTTTTCTTTTGTGTGATCGGCTGCTATGTATGGTTTTTGTCTCTTCTCCCTGGTATGTGTAAACCGCGAGCTGACCTGAGGGAGATGCCTGGTTATATGCCTTTGCTTGCGTTAGGACTCAGTAGATGGAGAGTCCTGCAAGGGTTCAAGCTTTCTCTTTACGGAACACGGAACAAGAAAATCAATCTCCATTACTTACCAAAAAAGCCTCTGTTCACCTAGGTTCTTGGCGGTGATGAAGTAGCACCAACTTCTCTTCCAAAGTGAGATTTCATTTGTTGTTCCGTGTAGAATCTCAAGCATAGATCGAATTCTTTATCAATCTCATCGTTTCACTCAAGTAAACCTTTGCTGGGATGAGCTATCTATTCCTCTGTCCTGCTCTTGACCTTGTTAGACTTGCCTTTTTCTTCCGGTTGAGTGATCAGGTAAGCGTTCCACTTCCTTCTAACAGTCAGCCTGTTGCTTCGTTCCTCACTATTCTTAGATTCCTATAGTCAGCCTTGCTCATCATCTGCTATTCAAAGATTTCTGATCTGTTTCGCTTTCTTCTCTCTTTCTTAAGATCATTCGAAACTGCTCTCCTTTTGCATAGCTGCTGTAGAGTGCTTTGTTAGTCTTCTTTACTTAAGCGAATCTGAATTCATATTCGTTGCAAATCTTCATTCATTGGTAGAAACACTCAATTGCCTGAATCGAACTAGTAAGCGAAAGGTTTCTAGAATCATTATACGATAATCCGAACTAAAAGAAAAGCTAGTGCCTCGCCTATTGCTCGAGAGGATACGATCTTACTTGCCTTATCGCGGTACTTAGCTTGTGGGGGTGTTACCGGAGCTAGTGAAGTAGGAGGAACGAAGTCCAAGCCATCACATACACAGAAGACCTTTCCGCTCCTTGGTGACAGTTCATAGCTTCTGGGATGTGTCCTTTCTTTGCAAGATTCTGACTCCCTTCCGCTTCGTTTTCATCATAACGCTCTTCTGAGCTCACGGCTCCTTACCTAAAGAACGAGTGCAAGCACATCTTTTCGGAAGCACCAAGGTTGTAACTAACTAACACGAGTTCTTAGCTTTACAGCATCCCTAACTTCCATACCCCATGTTCATATTTCTATTTGATGTTTAATGCCGATCTAGACAGAAAGGCTCTTATGTGAATCTGTTTATTTAGGTTACAGATCTAGTAACCAGTTATCGGATGGAGAGATAGATGTGTGATATTCCATTTCATTCCTACGTTCCCTCGATCGTGTAGCCAGTGAACCAAACATTATATTAGACTCGGAACGGAAATGAGTAGGAAGTGCCATTGCACGAGCATGGCCGGGTCAAGTTCAGTCCAGAGGTAGAAAGAAGGCTTTTATTTATGTGGTACAAAGATTGTTCCTATCGCCGGCTATAGAATGGTGTCATCTGCCCTTTTTGAATGCATAAGAAGGTAGTACTACTGGTCTGATAGAGTAGAGCGTTTATATAGTGTTTGGCTGGGCGGGGGAGTTGAATACTTCGACGGAAAGCGTCGGTATTATATTAACGCAGGTGTGTGAAGTCGCTTCAACGGACAGTCGGAGAAAAGAATCATTAAGAAAGAGGGCTAGTCGACCACGAAAGAAAGCCCATATTCCAATCCCACTGACCCGCATATGATATAGATTGAGCAGCTAGTAGGGAAGTCGAAGAACCGATATAAGGGGTTAGTACGGAAGTACGAGGTCCAATTCTACATTGGCAAGCGGATGAGTTTGAGAGTTGGCAAGGAACAGGGCTCCCCCTATACAGTCAGTCTAGAAGTGAACCTGTGACTACATACATACCAAATCAGATAGCGAATCAGGCAAGCCAACTTCTCTTTTTGCTCTGAGAAGCAATCCAATCTTCAGCCTTCGGACTTATTTATAAGCAACAAAGAAAAAGCCAGTTAACTCCTTTCTATTTTGTGGATCTGAACTTGGAAGTAGAGCAAGACTGAGGAGTCTATCCTTATTTTCTTAGTCCATTTGCTTCATTTCTTCCTTCAAATAGAGTGCGCGTGCTTTCTTGAGCAGAAGCAAAGAGCTAGTTTCCCCAATTAGACAGATAGGCTTAACGAGGGGATTCGCTGGTTGTTAGACTAGCAATGAAGGAGCTTTCCCTTAGAGACACATCATGAAGGCACACAACCACTAGTGAAGGGCAGAAGTCAAACCCAGGATGAGGGCTCTAAAGCAGGAACTTCCAGACACGAAACTCACCTCCACTCCAATAAGGTAGGCGGCTAACAGTTCTATCTATAAGGAAATCCACTCATGTCAGGTCTACAATCGTGGGCACAGAAAGGTAGGAGGTTACCGGCCCTATTCTTTGTCCATTGGCTGCTCGCTGGTATTCGATAGCTATTCAGAAAGTGACATCTACGTTGGAGTGGAAGCATACTCTACTGCAGTAGTCGAGGAGATTCCTTTCTATGGATGCACGACCCGCTCTGGACAAGGTAATATCCAAAGGGGCAAGAGAGCGAGCAAGAAGGGATTTCCTCCCGAATTGTATCCCATGTTGTTCTGCTCTGAAAATCTTGAAGAATGGAATTCAGCATCGGGGCCAAGCGAGTCAGAAAATCTTGTCCGGTTGCGGAGTTGGCGAAGGGGGGACCTCACACGGCCCCTTACCTGCAGGTACTCGAGAGAGAGAGCGCAGTAGAGACCTTTCCGCCGGAACGGCTCATTGCCAGTGCGTCTGGCGCCGGTTTTGCGTTGTCTTGCCCCCGAGACAGGGATCCTCTGCGAGGTGACCCAGGTCCGCAGATAGTGCATGAATAGTCAGAAAGCATCTGTCATTTCTTCTCACATTAGAAAGGTTGAACACGGAATGAATTTCTATTTAAAGATAATTGAAAGCGGGCTTCTTTTTTCAACGGATTCCTTCGGAAATGGAAAGGTAAATGATAGCCTAAGAGCCCATTCTGTCTGGTCAAGGCAAAATTCTCGTAGAAGGAGTGAGCACTTTACAACCTCGCTTGGAATGTAATCTTGTACCAGTTGTATCATTTTGAAAGATTTTGTTAGTTGCGGCCTAATGCCTTCACTTTAGACAAGGGCACAAATCTGAGCCTGTGATCATATGCCTCCTATCAAGGGTCGACTGCTTGTCTTCTTCTGGGAAGAGTATTGACTCCGCCCCCCTACACTCGATCTCCAGATTCGATTCTACTGTGATCTCGAAGCCCATAAGCTAAGCTCGGAGGAAGAGGGATTTCTGTTGGTGGATCTGTTGGTTTTGATTCCCCGCTTGGTAAACCTTGACCTCTCCTAGGTCTCTGAATCTTGAGCCTTTCCTATTCTTTCGGCTTAACGGACAGGCCAATGGTTGAATTTCTTGCAAACAAACATTTCCTCCCCCAGTGGTATATAGGGCCTTAGCCCGATCTTGCATCAAGCAGTTCAACAGCAAAAGACAGAGAGCTAAGGAAGAACCTAAACGAGAAATCTATCCTGTGATATAGATATGGGTACCCCAAACTACAGTTATTGATCTCACATCTTTCTACGGTACGGATCCAATGCTGGACATTTGTTTGTTGGCCGCCTCTTGTTCATAAAGTAGGGTCCTAGAGCCCCTATTCCTTTCGACAAAGCTCAAGAAAGAATCGCTAAGAACACCTACCTAGTTCGCTTTTGGAGGGATCATCGGCGCAAAACAAGAGCAAAAAGGATGATCCAATAGAAACCGAAAACAGAGCTTTTTGGGAGCAAATGAATACCAGTTGAGTAATGAAAGAGAATTCTTTCTATTATAGGAAAATACGAAGAAAGAGTGAAGAACCGATCACAACTATGAAATGAGCTAACTATGCTTGATTTTTGCGAAGGATGAACCTTTGAAGCCAAGGGCTTGGTGAGTCCAGAGAGGTTGATAGTCTCCTCATTGTAGTAACTGGGACATCGTAGGCAACCACGATGGAGAGCAGCAAATAGAGAATATGACCATGCCTTTGACTGCCTTTTGTGGGAAATACATAATAGGACCGCCCGGTCAAGCAAGCTAGAATTCCTTTTCTTACTTAGTAACAATTCCTAAACTCGGGGTAGCCGCAGCCAAGTTCCTCCCGTTCTTAAAGAAAGCTGTTCCTATCCTTCCTATCCCAGGAATTGCCTATCAGACAAGACTTTCGAAAGAGCTATTTTCATTGAATCAGGCCAAGTCAGAATGGAAGTTGCAAACAAACTTCCTAGGCTATCGGTTATGACTTTCTTGAGCAAGAAGCAAGCCTTTCCTTTTGCTTAGAATGGTGATAGGTCAAGGAATTGTCTTGATTAAGAGCCTTTCCGGCCAGGTGTTCGACCCTTAATTGACTTTCAGTTTCTCGCCCCTCTACTTTAGAGCAGAACAAATGTAGGCAACAGCCACAGCTGCCCAGTAAAAAACAAGAAGCGACATTGGCAGAGCAGAAGATAAGAATCAAACCTAATGTCAGCTTCAGTCCAAAAGGTTCTTCAGTAGATCAAAACATTAGTGCCTCTCTACCCCTTATGCTTATGTGGAACAAAGTCCACCGCACAGTGGCAAAAACAAAAGAGCTGCACGACTGACTTTGGGTCCAAGGGTGGCTGCCGTTCGAGGTTAGCAAGTCAATATTCCCCATTTTGAGCTAACCGTTGTCATAGCTAGTGGTTGTCAGCAGGTACTCCGCTTCCACTAAGCAAGTTCTACTCTACCCGCTTGCTAGCTTACAACAGTTCAAGCCGGGCTCTATCTCGAAACCGAAGATGCTGAACCGTATGGAGAGCTTGCTCCTTGACTTGGTATCATAGCCTGGTTTGTTTGGTCTGGAATGGAGTCAAGGACGCGCCCTGTAGCAACTCCAACAAAAAAACATACATATGGGTGCCTTTCCCGTCGAATGATTCTCTGAGAAGAGTAGCTGACCTGATCCTAACAAGGAGGAAAAAGCCCCTTCGCTAGAATGTCTTTGTGAGTGCCTCATCTTTTCTATCATTCTTTTTTGTTTGCGTATCCGTAGTGAGCTTGGTAGGGAGGACCCCATCTAATTGGCTGGGGTACGAGCGCTCTGCTTCATATAGTGTAAGTCTTTGCATATTCCCTTTATTCCTTAACTGGGTGAGGCTCTAAGTCATTTCCCGTGGTATTTCCCTCATCTGACAGCTTATTTGTCCTTCCCGCGTAAAGGGACAGCGCATACTGGCCCGCAGCGTGTAACGAAGTGCTTGGCCAGCCAACCCTTTCTACGTCAACCTCAAGACAAGCTTCCACCACTCCGTGGTCGGTGACATTGGCTAATGTGGGTACGGCCACTTGGGTTCGGTCAGAGCCCTCTTAAAAGCTGGCTTCCCCCAAAGTTCAAGAAGAAGAACTTGGTTGTTGGGTACGAAATCTATGAGACGATTCCTAGTTTTGTCGTCTTGCTGTGCCCGTCTTTCCTTTGTTTATGAGCTCTTTCGAATTCGTCATATTGACTTATAAGATGTGAAGATTTTGTTTAGACGAATATACGGAGCATCAATGAATGAAATAAGCCTCTGACTACCGGGGTTGCGTTGAACTAGTTGTGCCAGCACCACCTCGCTTTCATCAAAAACTGGAATGTGTTCCGGCGAGTTATAAGGATAGGTATCCAGTCTGTTTTTCCGTAATTCAACACCTGATCTCACTTGTATTGGAACGTGCAATGCACTAAGTCCAAGGCTGTCTCTAGAAAACAGGAGGAGAGGGGAGGAATAGCTAGTACATTACTGACTGACTCAAGAAGTGGACACACAGATTATGGTAAGAAAGGAGCTAATAGTAGTCAAGATATACTATCGGAGTTCAGATCCGTAACAACGTAGTAAGACAACGCTTCGGCCGAGAGTGAAGCACCAAGTTTGCTTCTTTCTTGAAGAGTTCGTGTGTCTAGTGGCGCAGGTTCCAATAGAGGAAAACCGAAGAGGGATGACTCAATGGGAAAACACCCGAGAGATTGATTTCCTTTTGTTTGTCCCCTTGTAACCACAGCCATAGAATTTATGTTTGATTCCGGGGACTTAGCGAAAGAAGATATCGATTAACTGATTGACTGCACCGCGGAATGCTAGACTGAGAAAGGGAAGGCTACCAGACTGATACAGGAAAGGAAGATCTATTTCTAAAGGAATCGGTATTCGTGGACGGATTGCCTGCCTATCTTTTATGGCTTCGCCTGCCTTTCACTCCTCTTCTCTTAATATAATATATTCTACTGAGCTAGCTACCTTTCTCCGGCTAACGCGTATCCGTTTTCTTGCTTCAAAGAGTCCCTTACTCACAAGTAGTACAGTTAGAAAGGAAAGAAGAGATCTATTTAATAGAGATATCGCTTAACCGTTAACTAATACAGAAAGAGCTTAACTGATTGCTCGAAAGCCCTCCCTTCCCTTAGAATATAAACTTAACCAACTGCAACTGATTCACACGGTAGGACCCTACCAACCAAAACTTTACACACAAAGAGACCTGGAAGACAAACGAAAGACTGAAGGAAGATGGTAACCTATCGTTCTACAAAACCCCTACCGGTTGCATTGGTTAGTAGATCCCCGCATCATCGCTCGGGAGCAGAGACCTTCATATTTAAGTACGGCTTTTAACCACACACAAAGAAGGGCCTCCTGTATGAGTGGCATCAAAGACACGTTGACTTACAACTTTGAAAGATCAAAGACGTTTACCTTTTCGAAGGGAAATGGGAAGAGACAAGTCTAAAACAGAGGTACTCGTCGATACGATAGGTTGATTTACGCTTACCAGTCATTATAGGCATAAAGCCTAGTGAAAGCAAGGGTTGTGCCCTATGTAGGTGTCAATCTGAGAAGGTGATTTGTTAACATCTACTAGCAGAAATGGAACTAGCTCTTTTCCACTGCCAGAAGGTTGGCAACTGCGGCATTATATACGCGTTTAGTTATGAGCACGAGTTGAAGAGCGATTAACAAAGCTAGCTCGTTACTTAGTTTGAGCTTGCCTGATCGATGAATAGTGTTGCAGGGAAGGACATGGAATGAGAGATCCGAGTTTCTGAGAGATTGGAAAAGAAAAGCGAGGGAGTAAAGACAGAATCACAGGATCGGACTGATATAGATAGAGGGATGCTTTTAGGACTTCGATCTAGAGAAAGAAATGGTTCGACTTGCATGTGTTAAGCATGCCACCAGCGTTCATCCTGAGCCAGGATCAAACTCAAAGATTCACTAAGATTACTGATAGTACGTGGTCAAACCTGGTGAACCGGGAGAGGGAGAGCGAACGAACAATGCCTCGAGCTAATGTGCAAAAAGGTGCTAGACGGATCAAGTGATGAAAACAAAGAGCGGAAGTCAAGAGAGAAAACAAGTACAACGAGAAGCAAGCTTCTCTTTTCGATTTCTGTTTGATAGTACACTGCATGCCTACCCCCATCTCTGGTAAATAGGGGGATTTTTGACACAAAATAACCTACAATAAAGTAGGCTAAAGCTCATTGCATTAACTTCTTCATATTCTCATTAATCTCTACTAAATCAATATGAAAATGAAGGATTCCAACCAATGATCCTCCGAAGGCGCCCGCCCCCTTCTCGCGGATCTTCCCGAAGAACCTTCTGAAGAATTTACAGCAAGAAATGGCAGAAACACCTCTTCACTCGCTTCCTCAAAGGGTAAGACGAGGGATCAAGCAACGGGGACTTATCCCGTTGACCCAACAGATTAGTGAGCTTGTATTCCATAGTTGGAAATCCCTGTAAATCTTTGTGTAGAATCAATTCCTTAGAACTTGGCCACTTCCTATTGTAAACTCTTACTGGTATGTCAATTTGATAGCCTTTTGCACGAGATGACCCTCTCTCTCTAGGATCCCCCCCAATCTTGGCCTCCAAGCGTGGGGTTTCAAGTAAACAGTGTCGCGCGTGTGCCCAAAATACGGGGGTTTTAGAAGTTGGGATCGGTCGAAATAGCAGAACAGCTAACGAGACCTAGGGCTAAGGCGGGGCTAGTAAACAGGGGGCTTGGTTTTGGTTCCACCTGCAACAGGAACCCGGATCTGGCGTTGTAGCCGCGCCAGAATCTTACTTCGAAACAGCCGATTCTATCTTTCTGCAACATGGAATTCATAAATAAGTGGCTTGGTTCCGCCAAACCCAACGAAATGATCCGACGAATAAGGGTAAGAGCTTGGACTTCATTATGGAGAAGCAAGACCTCAATATGGGCTTCTTAAAGAAAGTCCTCTCCTAGGGTACTCCTCTTTTCAAGTTGTTCGCTAAATTCAAGTTCCTTATTTTTCAAGTTCCTTCTGAAGTCACTCTTTTCATTTCCCTCTCTTCCCGAAGGCTGCAAGCAAGCAGGAGTCAGAGGGGGAAGACTAGGTGGAAGATTTGATAGTAGGGTTTACGATGAACAAGTCAAAGGGCGGAAGGCGATGGCTAAGGGGCATAGAGCTAAAGAGTAGAGTTGGTGCATACATCTGTATGTGGTCCTATGAATATCAGGGCGTGTAGTAGGATATGACCTTCTCCACTACCTCATTAATAGGGGGGAGAACTCTCCACGCTAAACTATCTATGCTCTAATCCCTATTCTATTCCTCACAGGGAAAAAGATGAAACAAAAGAAAGAACAACTTATGCAAACTATCAACACATCTCAGAGCAGCTGAGGAAGAAAAGAAGTGGAACATTCAGAAACATTCCTGGAACAAGGAGCTAACTCAAAGAACCTCAGAACAAGCAACCAAGTAAACTTGAGCTAACTCACATGAACCCGCCCGGTCTTCATATTCGAATTCATAGGTCGCAAC